AGAGCCAAGGTCATATTTGAAAACAATCCAGTTCCGTGAGGACCCGACCCCACGACCATCCGATCCGCTGGCGAGCGGAAACTCTATAGTGGAAATACATATGTTGAATTTCACTCTCTCTCTCTCTCTCTCTCTCTCTCTCTCTCTCTCTCTCTCTCTCTCTCTCTCTCTCTCTGTGTGTATCTGTGCACCGGTCAATCTGTGTATCTGTGTATATGTGTATCTGTCTATATGTGTATCTGTGTATCTGTCTATATGTGTATCTGTGTATCTGTCTATCTGTGTATCTGTCTATCTGTGTATCTGTCTATCTATCTATCTGTGTATCTGTCTATCTGTGTATCTGTCTATCTGTCTATCTGTGTATCTGTCTATCTGTCTATCTGTCTATCTGTCTATCTGTCTATCTGTGTATCTGTCTATCTGTCTATCTGTCTATCTGTCTATCTGTCTATCTGTCTATCTGTGTATCTGTCTATCTATCTGTCTATCTATCTGTCTATCTATCTATCTATGTGTCTATCTATCTATCTATCTATCTATCTATCTATCTATCTATCTATCTATCTATCTATCTATCTATCTATCTATCTATCTATCTATCTATCTATCTATCTATCTATCTATCTATCTATCTATCTATCTATCTATCTATCTATCTATTCTATCTATCTATCTAATCTATCTATCTATCTATCTATCTATCTATCTAATCTATCTATTCTATTCTATTCTATTCTATTCTATTCTATTCTATCTATCTATCTAATCTATCTATCTATCTAATCTATCTATCTATCTATCTATCTATCTATCTATCTATCTATCTATCTATCTATCTATCTATCTATCTATCTATCTATCTATCTATCTATCTATCTATCTATCTATCTATCTATCTATCTATAATCTATCTATCTATCTATTTATCTAATCTATCTATCTATCTATCTATCTATCTATCTATCTATCTATCTATCTATCTATCTATCTATCTATCTATCTATCTATCTATCTATCTATCTATCTATCTATCTATCTATCTATCTATCTATCTATCTAATCTATCTATCTATCTATCTATCTATCTATCTATCTATCTATCTATCTATCTATCTATCTATCTATCTATCTATCTATCTATCTATCTATCTATCTATCTATCTATCTATCTATCTATCTATCTATCTATCTGTCGGTCGGTCTGTCTGTCTGTCTGTATGTCTGTCTATTTGCGTTTGTGTGTGTGTGTATGTGTGTGTGTGTGTGTGTGAATGTGCGTAAACATAAACAGAAAACAAGATGTGAAGAAGGGGCAAGAAAGTAGAATAGAGAGAGAGAGAAGACAAAAACTCAACGGAAGGGAAGAAACAGAAAATCGAAAAGAGAGATAGAAATAAAGAAATAAAAGAAGGTAAGAAACAGGACAGAAAGAAAGATACGGATGACGATGATGATGATGGTTATAGTGAGTAAGACAGTGAGGATGATGATAATGGTGGTTATGATGATGATGATGATGATAGAACGAACAACACACAAAACAATTCAAAAACAAGCAAAAACTTAGAATTAAATAATGAAAACAAAAACAGGAGGGAAAAATATCAAAACCAGTATCATAATCATCACCCTTCCCCACTCGCAATCTTCTTCTTCTTCTTCTTCTTCTTCTTCTTCTTCTTCTTCTTCTTCTTCTTCTTCTTCTTCTTCTTCTTCTTCTTCTTCTTCTTCTTCTTCTTCTTCTTCTTCTTCTTCTTCTTCTTCTTCTTCTTCTCTTCTTCCACCACCTTGTACCTCATCGAAGTGTCGGGGAGAGATGTAACATTCGTTGATGAGCTCTGTCAAGAGCACTATTAAGACAGATGTTCATTTCTGTAGGGCTGTTCTTAATGCCATCACTCGCTCCTCTCCGAGGTTTTCCACTCGCTCTATACCCGTTGTAACGTTTAAGTGTGGCTCGCTGTGGTAGATAGTACCAGGGCATTCTTGTTAGGTATCCAAACCACTTCATTTGCTGTTCTTTGATGACCTGTAAGACTGGCTTTATTCCTAGCATTCGTCTGATTTCGTGATTTCGTATTCTGTCTTTTCTTAAAACTCCTGCAGCTCTTCTAAGGCATTTCATCTCTGTTGTCACAATTTTACGTTCATTTGAGGATGTAAGTGTCCACTTTTGGCGCTGATAGCATAGTTTTGGCCAAAAAATAGTTCTAATAAGATTCACTTATCACCATCATCAACACCAACAATTAAAAACACACTACAGGCATATCAACAGTTGAAATGACGAAGAAGACAATGATGCCAATAAGGAGAAAACCTTACTGGACTGCCATATGATCTCACAGATTCGTTGCAAGAAGTCGAACAGACTAGCGGACTCTGCGTGGGCCTCTCGCAGCTGGAACAGGATAGAACCATAGCTGACCGTCTGGTAGTTTTCACTGGTCAAGCAGGTCTTGCTGTGGTGCATCAAGTTCTTCTCTTCGTTTAGTGTCTGGGGGAACACAACAAAGCACCAAGTGTCAGTAGAAGGAAAAGTAACAATTTGCGCATTGAACTGGCGATGACTCCTCAACCCTTCCCCCCTCGCAATTAGTCGAGTCTTACGACTTGCTTGTTTTTGGGTGCTGTTCAAGTTGTTCCCCACAACGGTGCCCCCGGAACCCACACGTTGATAGTGGTGCCTAATATGACCAAATTATTTCTTACTTTTTTTAAAGAGAAAAAAAAGGGAGGGGGCGGGGCGGGGGGTTTCTTTACATGAAGCTCGGTCATTACTACGATATACAGATTTTTCAAATGGGACATGAATGATACAGATATAGAAAGGGATTAGTGAGAACAGGATGTCATGGACCGTGGTGTAAGCAGGGGCTAACACGGTAATGGCTTGGGATATCGGGAAAAATTATAGCAGATAGATTGCAAGCGACGCGTCTGCGAAAAAGCTCGTTAAATACATTAACCATAGAAAACTGCTAGGATTCTCAAGCCTCACATCCTTCTTCTTGTCCATGTCAATCCACAATCTTCTGGCTCGTGTACTTTCAGTCAACTCTGACACAGATAATCTCCCGTAGTTCATGCCGTGTGGCGTTGGTAGTCATGGTAATCCACAATCTTCTGGCTCGTGTACTTTCAGTCAACTCTGACACAGATGATCTCCCGTAGTTCATGCCGTGTGGCGTTGGTAGTCATGTCAATCTTCTGGCTCGTGTACTTTCAGTCAACTCTGACACAGATGATCTCCCGTAGTCCATGCAGTGTGGTGTTGGCAGTCATGTCAATCCACAATCTTCTGGCTCGTGTACTTTTAGTCAACTCTGACACAGATGATCTCCCGTAGTTCATGCCGTGTGGCGTTGGTAGTCATGTCAATCCACAATCTTCTGGTTCGTGTACTTTCAGTCAACTCTGACACAGATGATCTCCCGTAGTTCATGCCGTGTGGCGTTGGTAGTCATGGTAATCCACAATCTTCTGGCTCGTGTACTTTCAGTCAACTCTGACACAGATGATCTCCCGTAGTTCATGCCGTGTGGTGTTGGCAGTCATGTCAATCCACAATCTTCTGGCTCGTGTACTTTCAGTCAACTCTGACACAGATGATCTCCCGTAGTTCATGCCGTGTGGCGTTGGTAGTCATGGTAATCCACAATCTTCTGGCTCGTGTACTTTCAGTCAACTCTGACACAGATAATCTCCCGTAGTTCATGCCGTGTGGCGTTGGTAGTCATGTCAATCCACAATCTTCTGGCTCGTGTACTTTCAGTCAACTCTGACACAGATGATCTCCCGTAGTCCATGCAGTGTGTTGTTGATAGTCATGTCAATCCACAATCTTCTGGTTCGTGTACTTTCAGTCAACTCTGACACAGATGATCTCCCGTAGTTCATGCCGTGTGGCGTTGGTAGTCATGGTAATCCACAATCTTCTGGCTCGTGTACTTTCAGTCAACTCTGACACAGATGATCTCCCGTAGTTCATGCCGTGTGGCGTTGGTAGTCATGTCAATCCACAATCTTCTGGCTCGTGTACTTTCAGTCAACTCTGACACAGATGATCTCCCGTAGTTCATGCAGTGTGGTGTTGGCAGTCATGTCAATCCACAATCTTCTGGCTCGTGTACTTTCAGTCAACTCTGACACAGATGACCTCCCGTAGTTCATGCCGTGTGGTGTTGGTAGTCATGTCGATCCACAACTTTCTGTCTCGTGTACTTTTAGTCAACTCTGACAGAAATGATATTCCATAGCCCATGTTATGTGGCATTGGTAGTTATTTCCATCTAGAACCTTCTGTCTCGTTTACTTTCAGTCAACTTTGATACAGATGATCCTCCTTGCCATGATGTCAAACTGACCAGCGTCTATTCTCTCAGTCTCCCTCTGCCTCTCCTCTCTGTCAGCTTTCCTACTGGCACGATGTACTCCACCTTTCTCCTTCTTATCCCATGATCTAAGAATGTATATTGTCTGTTTCTGTCGTGAGCTAATATATCTTTTCGTGAGTTAGTTTCTTTTAAGACGTCTTCATTACTCTTTTTATTTCATGTTGTGTGCTATCTGAGCTACACACTAATCAGCTCACTTCCAAGTGTCCAGAAGGTACAACTTTCCCTCCCTCTCACTCACAGCAGGACTCGACGACAGTAACTCCGTTATACATTTTATTCAACAGGTTACAGGACAAAACTGCTGAGACGTAGACATTGATCCTAATTAACGTTCGAACATAGTACATTTAGTCCTCACTCGCTCCCTCTCAGCTTGTAGCGACCTCTCCCTGACCACTACAGCTCCATTGGTTTACAGCATCCCACAACTCTGGGCTCGCCGCACAGCCGAACATGACGAACTCACCTTTTCACTGGACCTTGATATTACTTCAGCAGACAACCTCGGCTGACTGGAGACGGACTTCCCTTGCCGCTCTCCAAAAGCACACAGCACGTCAGCCGGTCGAAGGACTCCGATGACCGAACAGGACTTTTAACACAAGTCCCCCTCTAGCACACAGCTCTCGTCGGCATCCCCTACTGTTCTGTCTCTGTAGTGACCCTACGTCTTCTTGCGCTGTCACCCAGAACAGTTATTATTGGAGCATCCAGTCTCCTTGGACTTACTTTAAAAGCGGGACTATACATTCGACCAATACCGCAACCACAACCCTTACTCAGACCTTGATGCCTGATAGTTGTACGGTACTCGGTCTTACTCGAGAGAGATAATGACTGAACCTGACTTGGTCTCTCTCTCTCTCTCTCTCTCTCTCTCTCTCTCTCTCTCTCTCTCTCTCTCTCTCTCTCTCTCTGTCTTGCTCTGACTCTCGGACTCACTACTCAGCCCAGTATATCTCTGCAGCATATGCATGCTGAAGTTACACGAGAAGCACTCTCGGCGTTCTCGGGAATCATGCTCATGTGGGCGTTCTCGAGACTCACGCTCATGTGGCCGTTCTCGAGGATCGCACTTATGTGGGTGGCTGATGTTACATGAGAATCACGCTGTCACGTAATTCACCCTTCCCTTGTGGGTCTCGTTATTCGTGCTTGTCATCCCCTACACAGTAACCCACGCGTCTACTTTCTCGTGCGCGCATTCCTCATTCGTGATAATGCATTTTCACTGGTCAACATTCTCTCCCCCTTACTTCTCGAGCCAAAGTTGACCCTCTTCCCCTTAAACTCACAGAAAGTACTATCATACCACTCTGTCCCTTCACACAATATTACACTCTCCCAAATCAGCACGCAACGTTTACCAAATGTATTCTCATCATTCTTTTATAAAACCACATCTTCGCATCTACCAAATAAAATTTCACTCATCCATCAGTGGTCCATGATTCACTTGTCTATATCAATACAGGATTTATAAAGCTTTTAAGATGCCTCAAATTAGTAAAACAAACCGTCAGAAAAGTGACAACTAATTTCAGTTTTCGAAATGCTATGTTGTTTATGACATGTTGCTTTTTCCCCACTCCCTTGCCTGTTCTGTCTTCTTGAAGATTTATTAGCTTTTTTTCCCATTCACTTTAGCTCTTTTTAACTGACTCTTTGTAATCGCAATCACTTACGCAATCAAACGCGTCCTGTCTTCACAATGAAGATTTACTGCAATTGAACTCTATTACTATGTCTCCCCGATTGTGATTGCCTACGCCAAAAGACAATTACTTACTGCCTTCGACCTCTCCTGCCATCATTGTTGTGTGTGTTTGTGTGGTAAGGTGGTTGGGGGGGGGGGGGGATAGAGTGGGTTGGAGGGTTCTTTTGAGATGTGTTTTTCAAGGTGTATCAGAATATAGAGCCTGATTAACCGTACACTACCCCCCCCCTTCTCTCTCTCTCTCTCTCTCTCTCTCTCTCTCTCTCTCTCTCTCTCTCTTACACACACACACACACACACACACACACACTCACACTCAGAAAGAAGAGGGGCTGTGACTCCTTTCCCAAAAGAAATATGTAGGAAAACTAAGTGCCCCCCCCCCCACTTTTTTTTAAACCCTTCACCAATCACGCACAAAGGTGGCTGTTTATGCAAATTATATTATTAAAAAAAAATATTTTATTGATGTGACATTCAGCACATACTAGTAATAATTATTCTTAAGCACTTACATAAGGTTCAGGCCCCTGATGACAACCCATACCCCACCCCACTTTCCAAAGTCTTATTTGTGTCCACGCCTCTGGCTGTATAGTTTTATGTGGTCAATACATCAGACAGGTCTCCTCGTTTATCGGACTGCGCGGTGACCGGGTGACGAACTCCTTGTAGTCCGGGTTCACTTCCGGGGGTAGGCAGAAAAGCCACATTTCCCCCAGATTTTTGGTGCCTATCATTGAATCAAGGCCGAAAAGTTGCTATATCCATAGTACCGAGCCAAAGGAATAACAACTCATGGTTTCTGGATATTAAAGAGAAAAAAAAATCTGTTAAGTTAAGCTGCTCTCTAAATTAAACCAGTTTGCTTCCTGACCAGCAGGCAGATTCCCCTCCTTATGTGCATCATTCCCCCATAAAAGATTCGGCAATATTGTAACAATAAGGATGCTATAAACGGCGAAGAAATAGGTTATTCGCATTAGTAAAACAAATGCATAATTTTAACTCAAAGAAAAGGAAAAGAAACAGATGTGCCAAGAAAGAAAGAAGAGCAGTAATATAAATAAAAAAAAAAGCAGTTTTTTTTTTAAAACCTGATTGCAACGTACTGTGCCGACTTTTTTCTTATGATCCCATTCCTGATCTTATGTAAATATACCTCCTAGATATTTGAAAACTCGTACTTGTTCATTACCGTACCATTAACACGAATGTTCCTGTGATTATGTTTCCTGCCTATTCTCGTTTCCTGTCTTCGCTGTGTTTGTATTCATTTCATGCTTTAGACCAGAGGTTCTCAAACTTCCTAATGCCACGACCCTCTATTACAGTTCCTCATGTTGTGGCGACCCCCAACCATAACATTATTTTCGTTGC